CGAGTCTTTTACACCGACAGGATAGGTGCCCCTCGCAATTCTGCTCACATATACCCGCGGAATTTGTGGCTGTGTCGTTACATCACGTGTGACGGTATGTTTCAAAGTAACTCACAATGCAGCGCGTAACAATTCAATCCTGGCAACAGTGTGGAAGCCTTGTTTGTCCGAAAAAGGTAAAGGTGTTGGTAACCGCCAGAAAACTTACGGGTGATTAGTACGGAATGCAAAAAAGGATGCAGGGACTACAACCTGGGCTTATATGCGGACTGCTATATGAGCCCTATTCTAACCTCCTTAAAGGGTATTAAATAGGGGAGTACTGTAGGGGTTACCCACGGGAATACTGGCAATTTAGTTTATGGCCCATATAGGGATCCAGTCGCTCCAGTCCTCCATTTAGGGCTTTGGGGTAGCCATGAGCCAGAAAACCGGCAATCCCTTTGACCAGGAGGCGTGGCAAGATTTGATCGACACAACGGCCGGGCTTGAGGTTCTTTGGCTGCTGTACTAGACTCGTTGGTGTTCACATCATCTCAGGATTTTCTTGGAACATCGTATGTTGAAATCTAGTGGTCCCCTGAAATACATATCTTGATCCTTGGAGAAAGCTAAATTTGGTGTCTGATGCCTTTGCAGGGTTTGTGGGGCAGAGCAGGACTTGCGTAGAGGTCTTTGACAAGGGCTCGTTTGTTTTTGTTCTGAAGGTCAGTAATGGTCCTGAAAATACGTGGCCCCAGCAATTAATTGGACCCTGGTTTTAAAATAGTCTTACAAACGCACATGGGCATTATCTGTTAGCCTCCTTTACAGCTTGCGTTCTGAGGGGGACCCATAGTTTTGGGCATCGCTGAGCTGCAGCACATACCGAGGCACCTTCGACGTGGCTGCCGTTTGTGTCTACAGGCCAATGTGCATCCTAGTCGGTTTTGTAGACGCTTTGGCGAAATCCGAGCAGGGCGCCTTTAAGTGGCGTTGTTGTCAATGGCAGCATCCATGCTCTAAAGTTAGAAGTATGGGCCCCTAATATTGGGGCGCAGCACGGAATCATGTCTTGCAGGGTTCTGCTTCCAAGGCCATACATGCAGGGAGGGGCTGCATGCAAGCGAAGCGTTTAGTGCTGCGTGATCAAACACGGGAAGTTTACTGTGGCATCAGCACTGATCAGGCTTCCTGGCGTTCCTAAAAGGGATCTACGAAGCCGTGGACCCGGCCATGGATGCCTTCACAGCAGGCAACTCGAGGCGTGAGACTATGAGGCAGCTGAGGTCAAGAGGCTTGCCATGCTGTGACAGGTTTGCAAGTTTACTAAATCGGAGGACCGATCCTTGCTGCAAGCAGCTACACTGTGATCACGAACTTGGTCTCGGCAGGCACATGTACACCAAAGACGTGGAACGGCGCTTCGAGGCAGAGATCTCCACTGCCAACGCGTTACCATGTACTTTGCAAGCTACAGGAAACTCAAGACCTTTGCTATTCTGCTCCACCATGTCAGGGCTTGAGAGACTGTAGCCGTAAATGGCCGTACTGCAAGATCGGAAGACTTGGGTCTTGTAGAGTCTCGCACCACTCCTAGCTTGTGACTGACGACGTGCTGTGGATCTCCAAATCTTAAGATGGATAACCTGCAACTAGGAGTCCTGGAGACGAGCAACACTGGTCGGTGGTGCCGTTGCACAGCTTGGATTGCCGCCAACTCAGCTTGACATGAACTTGCATGCTGTATAAGGTCTTGATGGGCAAAGTCTGCCTTTGATTGCTAGGATCCTGCACCAACTCTAGTAGCGCTGCTGCGCCCACTTGGCACATCAAGGCCAGGCGTGCTATTGCTCACCTTGGTGGCAGCTACAACTTGCCAGATTTACAAGCTGCTCCTTGGATCCGTTTCAAGGCTGTAAGTACAGTGTTAGACTAGAAATATGTGCAGGCGCTCCCCACAGGAACGCAGATGATCTTTACATCTGTCTTTACACAGTTTGCGAAAGCATGTCGTAAGCAATTTCCGCACGCAGTCCAGGTGGTCAGAAACCACCCGCCTTGAGCGCAAAATTGCGGACATGGAGGCATCAGCACCTGATGTTACGTGATAAAGTGCGGACTTGGGGGTGGAGATCAACGAATGTTCTGCGCCCATGGCATCTGCAACACTTCCTTGTAGAAGCCTTTCAGACAGGTGCAATGTCTGACAGCGGATGACAGACATGAGCCGCGGCAGCAGTTGCGGCGAAGGATTAGGCTTTTGTGCCCACAAAACTTTGTTCAAGCACCAGGGCGTGTGCACTGGATGGCACAACCCGCACCGGATTGCACAACATTGCAAAGGATGGGATCGCACGCAAGAGCAGCGTGTTGCAAGAAGTCGCGCGAAATTGCACGCTGCAGCACACTGCAGACCTGTCTTAGCACGGACCAGTCTTCGGTCGTAGGGGTTCTGCTTGAAGGTCTTGTCTGCATCTCGCTCCTAACATACGATGAATGATGCAATAGGTCATCCTAGCAAGTTATGCAAAAACACTGCCTCTAAGCCCAAAGCCACAGTAAGTATTTTGCTTTCGACTGTCAGTTCAGGCAGCTACCTTTCGCTGGCAGATGTGGATCCGAATCTCGGAGTGGCAAAAGCTTGGCGGGCCTCCACCAGGCTTCAGGTTCCAACTTCTGTGCGGAATTGTTCTGTGTGTGGAGTTTGTGACGAGTTGGCTACAGGGAAGCTCGTGGAAAGGGTTCACTCTCACTGGGCTGGCAGCACCCACCTTGATCCGTCCCCAACTGTCCGCACCGTATTGGCGAGTTCTGCACTACAGCACCAGGGACAGATCGGGTGCAAGCGGGTGACGCTGGACCCCCTGGCAGAACTAGCTCTCGAACATGGTTTTGCGTTCTCATGCCGGAGGTTCAGTCGCAGAAAGAAAGCAGTTCAGCACCAGCGCAAGGGAAGTAGCATGAAGTAGCAGTCTGTTGGTTGCGTGGTGTCACTGGCTGGGATGATACGACCGGCTGCATAGTAAGGAATGGCTCACTTGACCGATGTTGGTGGGTTGATGTCTCTTGGCTTGCGCTGGCGTAAAGGAGATCAGATGAGAAGGGCAGAGTCGAGCAAGCTCCGTAGGGTATGAACTTCGCATGCAAAGCCTGTCCCAGGTCACATATTTGAACCGCTGCAATCCTGGAGGGTTCTACAAGGAGTCTGCTTTTGAGATCCGGATGGGCCGATCTGAGCGCAGTCGATTTGAAACCTAGGCTGCTGCACCACGTCTACCAGCAGCTGGTTGGTGACCAGTCAAACATTAGCTGAGTAGTTGGTCGTATCAGGAGAATCGCGATTGCAGCAACACATATGGGATCATTTTCGATTCTTTCTCTTTGGGTCTCGTCCTTGCGAACAGGATTTTGGGTGGTTGGCCACCAAAGGTTATCAGACCCAGCTTGTCTTGGCCAGTTCAGGTGGTGAAGAGGGATCCTTGCGTTGCGGTTTGCTTCCTGGTACCTCCTCTTCAAAAAGGACCATCTCGCAGAGAGCTCCGAGTGGGATATCCTCCCCCAAGGGTTACCGGGCTTCATTCTGGTAGTCTTTCTTTAGATGAGTTGATCACGAAACGCTGAGCCGCTGACCTCTGCGATCCGAAGCCGGCGGGGTCAGCTTCATACCAAGCCAACCATGGCTGCAAAAGGCCACATGGCGTGAGATAATCCGCAGGAGAACAAAAGCAGAGGTGTGACAATGCTCCCGGCACCTTTTCCGAAGGACTTGCCATAGGCAAGCACTCTGCAGCCCAGCATGCTGGGCACGTGTCGCATGGGAAACTGTCGCGATTTCTGCGACGTGGGCTCCAAGGAGAGCGAAGGTGAGTGGAGTCATCATGCCTGTATATTGTAAGTCTGGAAACGGTTCCAGCGGGCATGGGTGAGCTTGAGCATCTACCGTTCCCGGATGTTCCCGGCCTGCTTGGTTGTCACGTTGCTTCACACATGGTAGGCATCGTTAGACTACCTTTAAAAGGCTGTGTGCACTTGCAGGCTGTTAGAAATGTTACCTCGTGGAATTTAAGAACGTTCCTGTGAGTTGTTGCAGAATGATGGCTTGCCAATTTTCAGTGGTGCCTACGATCAGCATCAATGTAGGCAGCAGAAGGCGTCCGATCAATAGCTTGCCACCCCACAGCGAGCAAGCAGGGTATCATCGACCTTCAAAGAAGGCCCTGGCATTTGGAGCATTCTGGCTTGCAGTAGCACATGGGCCTGTAGTTTCCTCCACCCTCATGCCCAGGTGCATAAGTATTTTGTGGGCAACCCAGAGATACTGTAGCTATCACAAGTCTTTCTGTTGAAGAAATGGTGCCGCCACCCGTGGCACCCAAATCCAACAATTTCAAGATTGAGTAGGAAACTCCGAGTTTTGTGGAACTCCTTGTTCCAGCCAGACGTGCTTCAGTTGTGTGTTTGAATCTTGTTTCTGTTTAAGTGCAAGGTTGCCACCCAACAAACAGGCTTGCCAAGGTCATCCGCGAGTCTCTCAAAAGTTTGGGGATCTTGTAATGAGGACAATATCTTTTATGGGTCATGTACAGGGGTCCCTTTTTCAAGCAGCCAATTCCATGTTTGCTGTCTCTACAGGGCGCTACAGCAAGTATCCTGTGGCCTAGGTGTGGAAATGGCACGGGACCCCACTCTCTGGCCAATTGTCGACCGCAACGCGGCCTTTGAAGCGAATCACCGGCAGCAATGCTCCGCGTTGAATTTCAAGGTGTATTTGCCTTGCGGCTTAGCGTCCACTAATCTGCCATGACTGCCGCCGGCGCCACCGCCAGCACCACCGCCACGACCATCGCCACCAGCATCAGCTTTAGCATGTTGGCATACATCTCAACAATCAGTATCTTTGGGAAGGTTTTGGTTGCGTGAGACGCAGCCAGTATGCCCGGCAGACTCCAGTTGAATTCATTTGTGAAGCAACTGCATCTGTTTTTGTTTGGGGCTTGTTTGATACGTTCACATCCAAGGTGAAAACTTTTGCGGAGGCTGTGCCATCGCTGTGGTTCCAGATCTCACTGGTCGGTTTGACGTATGACTGCCGGCAAGCATGTGTACAGCAAGTGCTTTAGGACTGTGGAGTCGTTCATGCTGGCGAACATGATGCACCAACATGGGAACATGCATCAAATTGTAGTGTCTTCAAGCTGTGGAAAACCGTAAACTTGAGAGTACTAGTGTTTAGGTTATTGCACAGTATGCTTACATGTGACCGCACCAACGCATAGGCTTCAAGCTGGGGGATTCACACACTTGGCGGAGGTAAAACTGCATGCAAGCATACAGCCTTTATAGTTGTCCGCCATTATTGTGGTACTCGCAGGACCTTCTGTAGGACATTTGTCCAAGATTGGACCATCAAAGCACGGACGCGGACGTTGTGCTTCGAATGCAGGACACTGCCAGCACAGAAAACCTTGTAGTGACCTTCGCGTCCATCGCCACTGGGATGCTGACCGTGGGACATGTTCTCTTCCTGGAGACATCCGTGTGGCTCGGCCTCCGTCTGACAACATTCAGAGGGGTAAGAAAGGTGCATCATGGTACTATTCTGCTTGCAGCCTCATTTTGCAGAGCTCTTCTCTTCCTCGTCGCCAGGTTACAGCGCCTTGTCCTATGTTACTTGAGCCTCTGGAAATGATAGCTGGAAAGCCAGGCTGAAGCGAACTGATGCATTCTTGCCCTCTCATCCCAGCACTCGGTAGGCTTCGCCACTTGTGCCACCTCGGAGAGCTTCTGGTCTTGAAGCAATGGGCGCTTTTGCTCGCCTATGTGGCGCGGCTTCTGTTGATAAATGGCCTGTTGGCTGGTGTTTGGGTAATATATGAGACAAATCAACCCCCTCTGTCTGTCCGGTGTTCTGCAGTTGGCGTTGGCGCGCAGGCATGCTTCAACGGTTGGAGCGGCAGGGCTTACGGTCGAGGCACCTGCACACAAGCAATCCGAGCAAAGTCTCGCATCCTAAGAACAGACCAACAAATTTCAACAATCACGGCGGCTGCGGCAACGACGGCGCGATCCACAATAAGCAAGTACTGGCAGTGCCAGTCAAGGACGAGTGTAGGATTCAGCTGCCACAATGCCAGCAAGACTGCACATGCTGCGGATCTTAACATAAGATATCATTTTGCCACTTACCCGTAATCTTGTAAGGAAGTGGCCACTGAAGAAACAGTGAACTCGGATTGTGAAATAACGATTGCAGCGACAACAGCGGGGATGCGGTGCACGTCATCTTGTCAGGGCAGGCAACAATACCAATTCTTAGGCAGGATTTGAGGGGCTGCCCATCTAAGGCAGGGACGTTCTGCTGCTGGTCAGTCTGCGTTGTGCGCCTCTTGGGTGTGTTCCTTTGTCCAGGCCGTCTTTGCTCTTTTGAATACACTTAACATATTAAACAGAGAATGAATGTTTGTATATATGCCTTGTCAGTGTGTGTGATATAGCCCTTGCCACGACGTAGTAGTTTTGTTCATGTTCCCAGTTGCCTGGCATTTGTAAAGCTTTAAGATTCTAGGAGCTGATTTCTAAGCATTGTCGCCCCAAGTTGTGATGGCCATCATCTCAAAGCTTGGCGCACGCATCGAAGCCTGTGGCAGGACACATCCTCAATGTCGAATCTGGCTGCCTACCAGCGAAGCTCTGAGGAAAAAGTCCGCAAAATGCCGGCAGTGGCTCCTAAACATAGACAGCGTGCATTCCCATTGTTGATCCTGTGCTCACTCTTGGCATCATGCATTCTTGGGACGAGACACAAGAAAGTAAGTTGCAGCAGAGTGTGAGACGAACCTGCGCAGTGGCGCCATTGCAATAATAGGTAAGTTCCCAGTCAACAAGCATCCTCGTTTTCAATTCAGTCACTACACATGAGCACTCGGACCTTGACGTCCTGGTGAACTTCAGAATCAGTCCTCAGTGTCCCAGCTGATTCATGGAGAACGTGTCCCAAGCCCACCACTTTGCTGTTTGTTGAGACTGCACTGGTCCACCCGCTGTGCCTATCCCTTAATGCGCCTTCTAAAGATTTAAACTTACGCTTGTTGAGCCCGAAAGGCCAAAGCCATGCACAAGCCCAATAATTACGCCCGACTCTCCATGGAAACGCATGCATCGCTAGAGACATGTAACAGTACCCGCAGTTGCGAAAACAGATACACTGCAACTCGTTCGAAGCGCACGCAGGCCCTAGAGCCCGCCTGCCCCTCACCCCTCCGATCTGGGCAGGTGAAGCGCTGCATTCCACAGGCTGTCGTATTTGGCTCTCTTTATTTCCAGCAATCTTATGGGGAGTTGTTCAAGGTATTTATTGTGTTTCTAATGATATGAGGATTTGTATTCCCCATGATTCAATGTATCTTATTTGGGTTGTCCTTTCGAAGTTGTAGCTTGTTTGGGTTCAGCCCTAAGTTTTCTGTTGTTGCCTCAGGTTCTTTCCTCCCTCTGTCTGCCTGATCACTCCGCATCCCGTCTTCAGAGCACGGAAAGCAAAACAGGAGGTGTTCCAAGATGACGGGATTTGCGCATGGCTCTTTGGAGGGGCCTCATGCTGCTTCACAATTGACGTGACCTACTTTGGAGACGAACGTGTGCTGGTGGTTTAGTCGGTGTCCTGTTTAAAGATCATCTTGGTCTTCACTTGCTTCGGGCATTGCTAGAGTTTGACCCAGAAGTGGTTGAAGCTTTCGCAGGACAAGATGGCTCCAGGCTCGAGCAAAGGCCGCGCTGCGGGTGTCAACGTGTAGGCGATTTGGGATGGAGGCAGTAACCAAGGTCGAGGGCTCACTCAGGTAGCAGCCGCGAGGGTGATGCCTTCTCTCAAGAAAGTGTGAGCCTTTCGGTTGCGGGGCATCCCAAAGCATGCAACTAGTTAACTCCTCATCCCTAATTGACAGAATCGTCGCTGGAATGCAAGCGGCAAGAAGACGCATGAGCCCCATCATCGCACAAGAAAGCGTGGGAACCTGGGGCTGTTCATGCGCATCATGGCAATACCTCAGGGAATTCGAGAGTTCAGGGCTTCTACGCGCCCTTATAGCACGTGCATGGACAACGAGGACAAGTTGGCATCTCGCGCATGGGAAACGTTGACAGCTCACTAAGCAGGCACCACAAATCCATGTATCAAATTTGTTCTCAGCCTCAGACGTCGAGTTGCCTGCTGTGACGTGGAATCAATGACCCTACTACAACGAGCTCCCAGCCGGGACGACTCGTTTTGCAAGAAAGCGCAATGCAATCCAGAATAGAATCTCCGCAGTGACGCTCTGGCTTGTTTTGAGCAACCTTGATGTGGCAGTGGCAGGTAAAGGTAAAGGCAAGGGCCCACCTCAGGGCGGCTGCAACGGCGGTGGCCTTGGCAAACCTGGGCATGTTTGTTCCTGTTGGGGCTGGTTTCCATGATTCAGCAGGGATCGTATGAGGATTCCATGGGGCTTTGGGTTTGCGGTTCGTGATGAATTCTGAGATGCTAAAATCGTTGCATGCCACTGTCACGACTACATCACCGCAGCCCACCATCCGAGGATAGAAGCTCTGAGACTCACACCACCCTGACCCTCGAGCCTCCAACTCGAAAAGCTGCCAACACAGAGAGAGTTTTGTGAGCCTTTAAAGCTGTCTAGCAGGACCCGTGCTGAGATCATGTCAAATCATGTGAGACCTGGAAGTATGTTACACATCCAGCTTGGAAGAGGCATAACAAGCGACCTGGGTCAATGCATATCAGTAGCTGCTTCCATTCTTCCATAATATGATCTTGTGCTTATAGAAGCAGACAACCCGGCGGCTACTTCTGTCCAAGCCAGGTCCTGCTGGCATGGGTGGCCCCCAAGGAGCCGTGAAGCACGATCTAAAGCGAAGACCGCACAATTCACTGACACGCTTCCTATATCTCCAGGTTGCTTGCAGCGCTCTGTACCGGCGTAAGCTGTTCAGTTTAAGCGCGCTCGCCAACAGGAGGGCCTGGCTATGGCGCAAACCCTTATGGAGGCCAGCATACGGGTACAGGGAAGCAAGGGCGGACTGTATGCTACCACATGGCTGGTGTCACCTCCCAGCAAAGTCAATGCGCACCAGGTTTATGCGCATACTCACGTATAGCTAAGCGGTAGCTGCCATAGGTTGAGTAGGCTGACGGGGTAAGAAGTTGTTCCACAAGCACAACACCTTCCCGAAGAAATGCGGCTGCAGGAGGCTACAACCCTGGCTACGGTGGCGCCGCGTATGGCCAAGCAGCCTATGGTGCTTATGGAGGTGGACGATGCTGCAGAGAGTTCGTCTGGCGGGGTTTGGATCAAGCAGCAAGACTGATAGGTATGAGTGTGCCGAAGGGATGTTAGACTTCGTTGGGATGAAGCGGGAAGAGGAATCCGCAACAGTGAGAACTCCCTTGATAATTGCCGGCAGACATCATCACTCTTGCATGTGTGGCACAAGGCCCCCTTGCAGCATGTACTGTCGGGGATACAGGATGGCCTCAAACATTTTCCAAAGTACCATAAAAGATGCATTAATGTTGTGCTTGCCGGCAGCTTAAGCAGGTTATGGCTGCGGAGCCTATGGGGCTCCACAGGCTGCATACGGATATCCTGCGGCCACTCGGCTGCACCAGAGGTACAACTGACCGAGATTGGGGTTTCTGAGTCCTATTGGTTCAGATTTCAATGTAGCGCGGGCTGCACAATTTCGGTTTTCCCGGAAACCCTTCATGCCAAGCCAGGATTGTTTGGGTTTCGCAAGAGAGGCCCTGAATGAGGTAGTTTGCCATCAAGACAACTTCTCGCATATAGGGATGCCTGAAGGGATTGCAATGTTTGGGTGGTTCAGAACGGTGACTAGCATAGGGGCCCTGCTTTTGACGTCCATCCTCCGTATTGTTCAGCATGGCTGCGAAGCAGCTTGTGCTTCCAGCCGGCGTTTAGACGGCCTCAACCACCCAAGCCAAAGCACTGCAAGCCCCCACTCAAGTGATCTAGGCTCGCAGAACACACGCTGAGAAGCACATAGACTTGACTCCTCGCCCAGGGCTATGGTGCCTATGGAGGATACCCCGCTCCAGCAGGCAGTTTCAAGCCATGTTCGTGTGCTACTAAGGTACGCACTTTGCTTTGCAATTAGTTGTCCTGCAGCTGTTCCCGTAACAGCAGGTGGCAGTGCTTTTGGCATGGCTGCTCCACATTGCTTCAGTAATTCACTGCGCATTCAGGGTCCTTACTCTTCGTTTCGATGCCATCGCTAGCAAGGCAGTGAGTGATTTCATGTCAAAGTTTCATCATTCTTGCTCCTGTATGTAATCGATTACTCTGCCATCATCACCTTCAATACCCGCCGCCGTTCTAGTTTCATGGGATCAAGATCATTATGAACTACCATCGTCATCATCAACAGCATCATCATCACCATCATCAGCATCCTCCTCCTCCTTCGTTTTTTATTACTGTACTTTTACTCATTGCTGTGAGTCTGGCTAGAGCCATTGCCGCGAGGCTACGGAGCGTATGGTGCGCCGCCGCCCGCGCCGCCTGCGGATCGGGCAGTCCGGGCCTTTGAAAGCATGGGGCTGGTGCGAGTAATTGTGAGTATGAGAGCAGATGAGAGCAGACAGGGAGATAGAGGGATAGAGCTACATCAAGCGAGAGTCGTCGTAGCTTTTTGCTTTAAGGCGCCCTACTGAGCTGCCAGTTTTGGGCCCTGGCCATGGCTACATGGGGAAGGCGGAGCATGCTTCGCTGCTTGGGTGTATTTTTTCAGAGGTTTCAACACTTGAAGGCTCTCTTCCGCATGGATGCACTTAATCGAATGCTCTCAAACACCAAAGGATTCACAAAGGATGATCCAGGGTATGGAGGTTTCGCGTTTCGGGTCTGCGGTCAAGGATTCAGTGTAGCCTGGTAGTTAGCAGTGGGTACGGTGGTTTGCAGCTAAAAGCTCGAGTGCTTCTTCAGCTTGGTCATTTAAGTGCTTGTGGGTTCCCCAAATAGAGAATACCTGCTGTGTACAGGGTGCATGTCTCAGGAAACTGCCTGTAGGGTTGAAACAAAATTTAGTCTTTGTCCTCATCATCTCCTTGCAGTTGTGGAGGAGCACAGAAGCTCATTCCTATTCTTGACGCTGCTATTGTGCGACCATTATGGCCAATCTTACTTTCATGCAGGATCAGTGTTTGCAGCTCCGTTGCTAGCAGTTTTGCACATGCAGGTAACCAGTGTACTCCCGAACAGGATAGATGGTTCTTACTCCAGCGATCCTGCAAACGAGCCGATGGCTGAATTAAAGAAGCGTCCGTTTGGGACTGCTCAATGCTAGCGAGGGGTTGTCTGTGGATCTCTTCATGCCGAGAACCCACCAGCAAACTGTTCATACTTGCCTCTATGCACGTGTCTCAAAATGATCAGAAAGTCCATGATGTCTGGATAGAGCGACGGATATACGGCGGCATATTTCTTGCCTTCTCGTCAAAATGAAGCAAGACATTCTACGGCCGAAATGAGCAACGTCTCAATGTTTGGAATCTTGGAAGAACCACCTTAATGTCATGACGCGCTACCGACAGTATTCGTGCGACCAGTATCACCACCAATACCAGCAATCCAATGTGACAATGATAGTCACGGGAAGAGTCGCAGATAACTGCAAGTCATCCTCAGGTCTGGATGTAGACTCCTGACGTGTCTTCTTGTAATGCAGAAGAACCATCTGATGAAAGAATTGTTTGCTGGTGCGCTAAGCTGCATTTGTGCATAAAGTCCACCCAACCAAAGTTTCACTTTTTGTGTGATGGCCCCCGCAGGTATCATCATGCTGGCGAGTGACGCCTGAAAATGAGGTGGGCAACTGACAACAGTCTGACAACTTGAAAGCGTGTAAGCTTGCAAGACGAGCTCCATTCATGGGTATATCCCAGCAAGCATTGAAATCGTCTTTCTCCTTGAAGCTGACTTGCTACTGCGCACGTCTTCTACCCTCACATTTTTGCCAAGAGCAACATTATTGAGTGATGAGGAATGTCGCCAGAAACTCTCCAGAAAAGTTTAGATCTGCGCGTCCGGGACAATAATTTGAGCACAGTGTCTATCTCACCGACTGGTCGATAAGTGCACATGTGCCAAGCGGAAAAAAAGACTTGCGGTGCAAGGCACTGTCGGGAACGTTTGCACGATTCACATCACCTACAGAAGCATTGCAAGTTGCTGAAGTGGAGCTGACAAAGCAAACAAAAGCCAACGATAATTGTTTTGGTGCTGTTGTGTTGGTGTTGGTGGCCGCCGCCGCCACTGCTGCTGCTGTTGCGGCGGCGGCGAGGCTAGCGATGCAAGTGGTGCCGATGGCGGTTTTGGGCGGCAGCCAGTGCATCAAAACCAAACAGCACTACTACTACTACTACTACTACTATTACTATTACTACTACTACTACCACCACTACTACTACTGGTCTTGAATCAGCTCATGTTGCATGTCAGGTCAGCCAGAAGCCTGCCCCCTTGACCCTTCTTTTGTTGAGAGATGTTTAGCTGAATACGTATTGGGTGCGACTAAGAAAGCAGTATTCCTTGACGCCCGCTCGCTGTGGGCTCAAACGCTAGAGGCTGCGGCACTGAGACCAGGCGGTTCAAAGTTGGCAAACGCTCATGTGTTGGCGAGCCAGCGTCAAACAGGGATGTACTGTCATGGTTGCAGAGGGTCTGACAAGTTGTGGTAGAGGGTCTCATCGCCATTGTAGGATTTCTCGACCTAGTCTACGGTAGGATTCAAGTGTACTCTTCAATCGGGGGAGTTGTGATTTCTTGGGTACACGGTGGCACTGTCGGGCCTCGGGTCGCTCGCACGTTCGGCGCCATGGGTGGTCGGCGCCGGCGTGACAGGACCCCGTGCGACACCCAGCGCCGACCATTTGGAGTCCTGACAGTGACAAGTAGCAGCAGCGAAAAAATGGCAACAGTACTACCGGAAGGGACAGTACCCACGTACAGGTATCCGTTGGGTAACAAGCTCGGTGAGCTCGGTTCGGGGCTTCTTTCTCCTGGAAAGCTGACATTCTACCCCACAACATTCAACTACAAAAGAGCCTCAATTGCCAGAAGCCCATCAGCTTCAGACACAGGAACTCCACCGAACAGCAGGCTACCGCGCCATAGAGAACATGGCAAGAAGCCATGAGAATGCTTGCGAGCTGTATTTCTGGCAAGGCATTGTTCTGAGGTGCACCTTCCAGCTGGTTCTCCGCAAAAGGAAACACAATGCATGTTGCGACCTCTCATGAAAGCCGTTAGCCCTACACGTCTACTTCTTTCCCAAAGCTTCCCCTGTGCTTGTGCGGGACTGAAACAACACGACTGCGCAGTCAGGAAAGAGTTTTCCCAACCAAGTGCCGAGAGCGTCAGATTTTTTTCAAATGTCCTGCGTGTGTCTTCTTTATTCGCTTCTGCATGTAAGTTGCTGGTTGTTTTTGTGGTCCTGTTGCTTTCAAGATTGCTACTGCTATTTGCTCTCCTTTTTTTAGCGTCTTAGAGCTGGCTGTCTTGCGGGTAAAAAGGACGTTGTCGCATGCATCATCTCTTTCTGGGCTCAAAGCTGCTCAGGGTCAGCGAGGGTCCGAAATGCAGCATTCTACTAGGTTACTAGTGGGCTTCTGGAAGCCAAGCTTCCGTTCGTTATCCGCGCATGTAAGGAAGGGTTTGGGGGGGCTACATAACAAGACCCAGTCCTGAGAAGACATGACGCTTATATTATACTGTAACTTATACTTCCCCAGACTACATGCAGATGCATCCTTGTTCCATGCAGAAGATCGAGCTGCTGAAGCAAACCGGCAATCTTGGCACCTTTTTTACGGTTCTAATTTCACCGCTATTCCTGCTACCATTATGGTTCAGCAGGTTCAGCAAGCAGCTATGATGATAGCTATGAGCAGGTTGCTCTTATTCCAGAGCGCGACAGCAGGGGAGGAGTCATATTGCGTTATGTCTGCCAGTCTGAAGATTCAAAAGGGACATGTTGCCTACTGTATTCAGAGTGCCGCTGGCACCTTCACGAGCCACAATCTGTTGCAGCAGCTCATGCTGGCCGACAACGTGCACATCATTGGGGCGACTTATGAGAAGTCTCAGGAGGGCCTTGTGTTTGTGCCTGGGTCCACCTATGCCGAGGGGCGCAACGCACTTTTGTACGAGGCGTGCCGTGTAGAGGTGGTAAGGCTCCGATTCCGTTTTTCATACCTGGTTTTCGTGGACGATGACATTGAGATCCTTGGAGGTTCTTTCAGTGCCTGGCATTCCGATTTGCTTTTCTGGGAGCCGGCAGTCATGGTACCCAGCTACAGGAGTTTGTTGGACCAGCGACGGTACAAAGGCCGGCCAGTCGGGGTTTGGCAGTATGACTCCTTCTTCGTGGCCTACCACCGCGAGCTTGCTGATGCCCTGTTGCCATTGAACACCTCGCTGGATGATGCGAAAGTATGCTGGTGGTCGTCTTCCTTCTACATTCAGTATTTGTCGGGGATCCACTTGCAAGGTCATTGCCTGTTGTCAGATAGGCTTGTAGTTCAAGGCATGAAGGAAGGCACGTATCCGCGGCAGGGTTGTAGGAGAAACTGGGTTTGGAAGCTGATCAAAGCAACCCACGCAGACATAATGCCGTCTCTGGACGATTTGGATAAGATCGCAGGTCCGACCTGGTATTTGGAATGGGGTGTCGCTCGAAAGCGAGGAGAGAAAAGTTACGATCTGAGCAGGCAAAATGCAACCAATTGGAGGTTGCATAGCTGGCGGGCTCCTCCCATCAAGGGAAGGAGATGCAATCTATGGAACAATCGGATGGTATGTTGGACTCATGGGGTACCGCTTCCTTTATTTCCCAACTTTACAACAGCCGAGGCGCCTTAACCCCAACTACAATGGACAAGTAAGTCTTACTGCAGACACTTTTGCACGCCCCTGATGAAGCTGCCCAATAGGGCCAGACCCCCCGCATGAATCGTGAGGAAGTAAAGCCTGCTGCTGCGCGCAGATGGGAGAAAAAGTGCATCAACTCAAAGGGCAGCTCAAAGCACTTGAAGGATGGCATAGTCACGCTCATGGTACGCCAAAACTGGTTGATGATCAAGGTAGTTGTCCCCTTAGTCATGGTGTTTTGATGGGATGATATACATATGGTAGTCAGATGATGCTTGTGATCGCAAGGTAGAAGTCCAAACCTCCCTCTCCTGGCCCTACATGGCATCCCTTTTGGGGGTATTTACTATAGAATGAATATAATCTTACTTGGTTCAAACACCAAAGAAGCGCTACTCAGATGGGCTTGGGAGAAGCGCCTAGCATGAAAGCAACATGAGGATGCTGTCGCTCAGGGTTCTATGTGTCGTGCAGCGCGTGACTTGTGGGGCTTGCTAGCTGGTCTGGGCCTAGCTGGCATTGCATGGTTGTGGCGAAAACTTGCACGCCTCCGGCAGAGACGCTCCCAAGCTGCGTTTTCTAGCACGGCATCAAATCCACAAAAGCACAGCAGGTCTTACAGCGACGACTACTACAGCGAGGAAAGCCGAAGCCCGTCGCGTGATCGCCGGCGACGACGCCGGTAGCTTGCCAAGTGTTCGATTTGAGTTCTGGGTTGATAGCTGCCCCACAGCGTAGCACTGAATGTTCCCCATAATTTGCTTGCAGGCCTAGATCAGGGAGGGGTGTGTGCCGAAGTGGTCAGTGAAGGAGCTCGCAGCTAGGGCAAGTAGGGAAGAAACGATTAGCAACAGCATCCAGCGTGCACAAGCCCGCAGTAATCACACGAAGGCTCTGAAGGCATGCACTTGACAGAGAGTTTGCTGGGCTTCTGAGCCGAAACTGGTAGAAGAGGTTCCAAGTGTCAGTCATAAGAGGCCCGCTTTCCAAATGTAAGCAGAGGCTGCCACCGCCTTTTGGGGCGGTGGTGTGAAGTAAAACTAAAACGCTGCTGCAAAGCTGTGTGGCTTCAACCCTTGCGTGACTCAAGCTCATTAGACTTCCCGCTGCCCTGGCAGCGTGCTACCGTAATTGTTGATCTCTAGGTGCAGGTTGGTGATATTTTTTTAATTGCAGCCTAGTTGTCCACGATTCACGAAGACTTGCCGTAGGCTCCGTGAATAAGAGTAGCCCAGGCGTCGTGGAACGCGGAAGCGTGGAAAGCGGATGAGTACCGTCGACAGGTGGGGGACCGCAGCCGCACAAACTTATTGTGCTTGCTAGGACTTGTAAGTAATGTTGAGATCATCACTTGTATGAAGCAGAGAATCCGAGTTTTAGCTATTTTCGGCAGCAGGCACGTTTCTCTGCAGGCTTCGGATGCTTGATATCAGCACTCCCACTCTTGGAGACCCCGCAACTCTAGCAGGAAACCATGCAGCAACTAAATACTGCTTCACTTTTTTACCCTGCAAGACCACACTGTGCACCAGGCAAATCTTTGGCAGAGCATGTTGAGGGCATGGTCTCGTCTCGTCAAGCAGTTGTTTGTGTGCCCAGAGTTTCTTATGATCATGGCTGCTTTTGACTTCCGCCTAATTGTTATTCCTTCTGACGGCCAAGTGGCCAAAGCTTGAACCACGCAAGGGTGGTCGGGGTTGAAACCAGTGGCAAGAACCTCATCCATGAAGGGGTTGCTTGCGTGGGAGGTTCATCCGAGAGAACGAACTCAGCGAGTCCGCAGCCGCACGTCTGCGGGGTGCTTCGCGTGAGGTGCGCACTTCGACTTGTCAAGGCTGCAAAGCTTTCGGGATCTAGGCCATGCTCAAGGGCCGCTTCACCACGAATGACCATAGTCAATGACAGGAACCGACTCCTCCAATCTTAACTGTAACTTGATGCGTCACGCTCTCTCTGACCTTGCTAGAGCTTGCCAAAACTTGAAGTTGAATTGGCCTGTAGTACCAGGCAGATCACTGGTCGATGCAGGGAGTGCTGTTGCTCAGTCGACTTGCAAGAAGCACTCGTCAAAGAAACACCTGAAACACCTGCATTCGAATCGCGCACGAAGTCCACAGTGGGTGTGTTTTTCATGCGGCATTAATTTTCAAGAGCCGCACCCTCCAGCAAGAGGAACTTTGTGGGTAAGGCTGTATTGAGCATCCGGCTCAGTGTTGTGCGGCTGTCCATGCTGCTGGTTTGCTCGTTTCCTTCACTTCCTCTGTCATTACAGGTGCCGCTACCACTACGACTACAACCACCTGCCACTGCTGCTGCTGCCGCCGCCGCTTCCGCCGCTGCGGTCACTGGACCTTCCACCACATTCATGTGCTGCCAAAACAGTACCACAATCCAAGCCACTGCTACGGCGAGCGGAGGTCCAAGAGGTGCTTCAGATGAGCAATCTTCTTATCGTGTTCTTGCCAGGTGCGGGATGCTTGTATCGACCAGGGCTGGAATGCCTCTTGGCTTGCGGCTTGCAGTCCGGTAAGCTTCATGGGGACTACTTGCAGAGCCTCGCCAGAAAATGTCCTGTCAAGAGCAAATGCTCAGCGCAGAAATACATTATGGGTTGGGCCTACCCTGCCTGGCCTCAAGACGGTTTTGTTGTTCATAGCAATCTCACCAAGGGGTCTAGTTCCATGCGAGTTCCGAGGTGATTGAGAATGCCCGCAATGCCAGTGCTGTCGTGATCTCGCGAATAAAGCATTCCCGCCACGCTTTGAGCAGGCGTCGAGACCAGTTGTGCACAGCTCCGGAGTCCCCTAAACCAATCACAGGCAACCAAAGCTCTGTTGTAGATAAGCTGCAGCTCCAGCGCGAAATAGTAATCGCTGCCTCATATCAATAAACACCCCCCTAATAATAAATAATAAATCCGGGACCCTAAAAATTCCTCATGAGCATTTTAAAAGGGGCTGTACTAATTTTAAA